AATTCTATCTTCGTCGTTTCAGAGTCCACCTTAAATAATTTTCATTAAACATTTAAATAGGGACACATGTGTTTCTTTCAACTTTTAAATCAACCTATCTATACTTGACAGACATAGAGGGGGGGAAAGTGAGAGAGACTGAAGTCAACTTAGTGTTGACATATGCTGAGATCAGCCGTATCTAGCTATGGCCCCATAGAAAATTAAAGCAATCCATATCCTATTCTCATTCCAACGTCAAGATTCTAATAATCAACGCAATTGAGATGGAGAATACAAGAGAAAAGACAGATTTCGTATTACATCAACAATCTCAGGACGTGGCAATTTCTGTTTTATTAACTACAAACACAACCCTTTGCCTTCAGATATGAATATGATCCCTTTTTCTGATGCATTGTATGATGAAATCTGAACCGAATTTTTGGAAAAGGAAGTTTGGACACCATATATGGATGACTAGTTACTCGACAAGTGCTTATCATCCAACTTAGCAATATGTACTGCATTTGTATCAAGACGGCGGTGCGGTTTAGTGATGGTGTGGTTGAAATCCGCCGACTTCGAATATATTTTTCGGATTTGTCTTCTTTTTACAGGGTTTAATAGGCGTATTTTAATGATTGGTTATGGAATGTGAGGTATTAAGTGCTATTGAATCTGTAGTAAATATCTTCTTAGGAAAAAGAATTGAACGTTGGTCAGTAAACTATCAGATGTATTTTTTTTATGAGAGAGGTAATGTAAAATGATTAAAAAGGATTTGTAATGTTAAATATGAACAAAAATAATCATAAAACATATTTTATTGGATTTATTTCATATGAATGGGAATGGGGCGGAAATACGAATCTCAATTGGCAAGTCATAGCAGATTTCTCGATATTTATAGTCGTTTCATGATAGATCGAGACTAGGTAGGGTCATTTATTTTTGGGGTGCGGTTAGGAGCAGTTTGACATATATACGAATATGTATCTTAATGGAAAACCCCTTGAAACATTGATTTTTTCATTAAAAATGTAGTTAAATTATTAGAAAAATCGAGCCTCTCACATGTTTATAACTTTATTATAGAAAGTATTAATATAATAAAAGTAAAAAATTTAAGTAAATTTTGGACAAAGGTACATATAAGTTTTAGACAAAACCAAATAGAAAATAATACATGTTAGTACGAGCACAATCGAAAAGAGTACTCATATTCCTCTCACCCCACTTATAAGATAAGTATTACTTGCTTAGAACAAGTCAAACAGATCGAGTAACAGATGCGAATGTGATTTGTGAAGTCGAAATTAACATGGCTATGGCTACGTGGCAACAGGGTCAAGGGACTAGGGAGGGAGGGTTGTGTGGCTCAACGAGGCAAAAGTAGGGATGGCAATGGGGCGGGTTTGCCTAAACCATCCCCATCCCCGCTTTCAAATATTTATACCCATACCCATGCGGGGGAAGGTTTTGCAAACCCATTCCCATACCCATGGGTTTCAGGTACCCATGGGTAATACCCGCCCCGTACATCCAACATTATAATACGTAATATTTTACATGTAGACTTTCAATTATAACATTAAACGAACCTACTTTATCATGAAGTCGACAAAGAGACAATCATTTTTAATACGATTCAAAGCATCTTATTATAAAGCATCCATTAATCCATATCAGAGTAGAGTACAATGTCATTCAAATCATTATTCTCTACTGTGATACATCTATTAAGTAATAATTAACTAACATAATCTTGTTAACTATGGGAAAAAGTGAAAGAGTGAAGGAAAAATTGAGAGAAATAAATTAGATTTTGATTTGGGTGGCCACTCAATTGCATTTCTACTATATATTTTTATTGAGTTATACTCACTATTATTGATAGGTTACAAATTGATTCACATAATTTTCATATGTGAAGAAATATTTTTTGTGGGGCGGGGGCTAAAATCATACCCGCTCCATACCATCAAACTTTTGTGGGTTTTATCCATACCCGTCCCATACCCAGTCAATGCGGAAATTCCCCGCGTTGACTAGATCGAGGATGGTCGAATACCCATGGGCATGGACAATTTGGGGCTATGGGCGAAAGGAACAGTGCGCAAAGAGGGAGCTTTGCTTTGCTTTGGAGGGTGGGGGGTGGGGGCCAAACATAAATAGACAAAAAGAGTGGTGTATTTATTGCCCACTTATTCTTCAACCCACTCACTTCACTCACTCACTACTGCTCTCCCTTCAGGATTTTGCTTTGATTCACTCTCTCACTTCCCTTCCCTTCCCAGCCTCACTAGTCACTACTCACTAGTTTTAGTCAGAGAAACAAGGAAAACCCATTACCAAACAAAAACAAACAAAACACTCTCTGCAGCAGAGAGCCAGAGCAGCATTTTGATCTTCGTGCTTCTTATTGGCAGCAATAGTAGTAGTAGTTGTAGGGGGAGGAAAAATTTATTGCTTCTCTTTCTACCTTCTTCATCTTTCTTTAAACCCACCTTTCCCAATTCCCCCACCAAACCCGTTACCACAGCCAAAGCTCGAGTCTTTCTACAGAGCAGAGTCCACTGTACTGATAGGAGAAAGTATGTTTGCAGCAGAGAACGGGCTGAAGGGAGACCCAAGGCTTGAGGCCATCTCCCAGGCTATTAGGGTTGTCCCTCACTTCCCCAAGAAAGGTGTCCCTAAAACCCTTGTCTTCTTTTGTGGTTTTATTGGCCGCTTCCCCCTCTGTTTTTGAAGTTCTTGTGCTAAGTGAATTTCGTTTTCCCCCTTATCTTTTTGTGTGGTTGGCAGGTATAATGTTTCAAGATATAACGACCCTTTTGCTGGATCATAAGGCTTTTCAGGATACGGTGGATATCTTTGTCGATCGTTACAGGAACATGGACATTTCCGTAGTCGCTGGTATGTTGTGTTCCTTGCTTCTCTGATTGCCATGGAGTTTGTTCATGGCTAAATTTTGGGGTTTGGGTCCTTTATCAGCACTTGCATGTGTCTTTATCTGGGTTAGTGTAGTGTCGGCTGGCTGCTATTTTTCTTTTGGCTGGATATGGAGTTTTGGTTAGTGTGGTTGACAGTCAATTATGAAGAGAGGAGCTATCTGCTTAGGAAATTTTTCTCGTTGAGATTGTGCGTGGTACTTTTGCAGCATCCAGCTGCAATCTTGGTTCCCTTTGGATTGCATTTTTCAGCTCGAGGGAGAAAAGGGGAAAGGGTAGTTGATGGTGGTGGGTCTTGTCCCCTTAGTCCTGTTGTCTCTATCGGATGGTCCTTCAATTTTGTGGAAATGGTTGCTCCATGTGTTATTAGATGGCTAGGCTTCACTGTGTGTACTTGATGTGGGGAGGGTTTTCTTTTACCTGATGACTGATTGATGACCTTGTGCTTTGTCTGCAGGGATTGAAGCTAGGGGTTTCATGTTTGGTCCCTCAATCGCTTTAGCCATTGGAGCGAAATTTGTACCCTTGAGGAAGCCGAAAAAGTTGCCCGGTAAGGCGTAGTATGTTGAATAGGGGCAATGCAACAATGTTTGTTTCCAAAATTGTGGCTAGTTTTGAAAGTATTGGCTCTTGGGGGTCTTAAGTTTATGTCAAGGGTTGAATCCCATCTCTAGGGGGTGTTTGAACTCGGACTAAATACCATGCAGGTAAAGTGATATGCGAAGAATATGAGCTGGAGTATGGAACAGACTGCTTAGAGATGCAGGTAGATGCTGTGCAGCCAGGGGATCGTGCGTTGATAGTCGATGATCTGGTCGCTACAGGTGGAACACTGTCAGCAGCGATAAGGCTCTTGGGTATATAATTATATGGTTTACCTGTCCTCAGTTGTTCTCTTTTATTGAGTTTTCTTAAGCCGACTCTCACACCGGTGGATGCACTGGCCATTTTCAGAACGCATGGGGGCGCAAGTTGTAGAATGTGGATGTGTGGTTGGTTTGCCTGAAGTCAAGGTAATTGATACATGAAAATCCCTATATTCCTACAAATGGAGAGATGTTTTTCCTAGTAACTGTAGGGAAGTTTCCCCAGCTTTCTGAATCTGCTTGAACGTGGTTCCAGGGGCAGTGTAGGCTGAATGGAAAACCAGTGTATATCCTCGTGGAGCCTCGAGAAATAGACAATTGCCGCCATGGTTTGTATGCATGCAAGTTCTCCCTCATGCCTTCCGTGTTGCGGTTTAACTAATTCAAACTGCACTTCTTTTGCCAGCAGATATCTCCTCTGAGTTTTTGAATGTGCAATGCTCTGGCTGACTTGGGGGAGAACCAAGGGATGAAGTTTGAGCAACTGCAGAACAAATGTCTGCGCGGTTTTCTCCACTCTCGTATGCGCGCCTTCTGTTCAAGTTTGGGGCAGCCGAATGTTCCACGGTAGCTTTGTGTAGTAGCAGTAGTAGTCTTCTCTTTCTTGTGGCGGTTTTTACTTTATGCATTGATAGTTGTCTTTAGGGCCTGTGTTGTAACTTAAGAGAATGAGCAATTTAGAAAGAAGACTTTGGCATAGATCAATGATGTATCATTCAATTCATTTGTGGTTTTAGTCTGAATCTCATCTCTTTCCCCACATGAAAGGGTTTCTGTACGAATTTGGCTATGGTGTTGATGCAAATCTGATCAGTGCGTCGTGCCGTGCGTACTTATGTCGTCAGGTTGCTCCCCTGCTCTATCTGTGCTGATGCAATGAAATGCACTGAACGCCCAGCAACAGCACTGCATCGCAACTGCATTTTGGATTTTACAATGAGAAAGATTCGATTCCATCTGGGCAGATTTGTTCAGCTTCGAGAAAGGTAGAAAGATTCAGTCCACTCCAAAACCCAACAACCAAGAAATACGCCATTGGAAACATAAAAAAAAACGTATACCTTTCCTTATCCATCTCGTCACTTTGGTGTGCATCTCTTTTTGCTTCTTTATATGGAGCAAAGGAACTCGACAAATAAAGCCCTAGATTGAATATAGATAAACATAATAAAGTGGTCATGTCTTTCTTTATCTAAAAAAACTTGGCATGTGCCTGAATTTGTATAATATGGCCTGTTCCAAGCAACTTGAATGTGATAGACAAACGAGAAAGTCGTCAAATAGCAAAACAACATGCTTTTGACCTTGAGAGATCTCATGTTCGAATTTCGACTATGACCAACATCACCAAATAAAAGTTCCCAGAAAATCTACAATGCAAGGGCACGAGGGACTGAGAATGGTCACAAAATGTTTATCTTAAGGTACAAAGATGGTGGTATGAACCGTTGAAGGCAATGCTCTCTCTCTCTAGTTGACTTTCGTCGTATAAGTGGACAGTGAAAGCTCCACAAGGTTACAAATAGTTAAAGCTGCAGTTCCGTGCAGATCAACTTCTTCATCACAGGCCATACATATGTAGAAGTGAAATTAAAATTTGATCAAATGGAAGAAAGCGGAAAGCTAAAACACGACAGAAGAGAAGAGGGGAATATGATTCTCTATGGTTTGTTCATCTATCTACATTAGATATGTCCAGTGACGGCTCCCTCGATATCGTGCCCTTTCGAAGAGCACGACGAGCAACAGAGTATACCTGTCTCCGCAGCTTTGCATTATCGGCTAGTATGTCTCCGAGCAATGTCCTCAATTCACTGTTCATTGTCTTCTCGTTACAATCAGCACCACCATCATCAGCTATTAGTTGTGCCTGGGCACACAAAAGAAAATGACCAAGAAAGAAAGCATGAGATCACGCGGGGCAAAAACCAAAGAGTCGGGAATCCTAATAAAGTGAAGAGTGGCAGTACCTCTGCAAGAAGAAGGCTAATCCGGTCATCAAATGTTTCCAATAAATCGAACGCGTCTTCAGATGAGGAGTTCAGCACAAAATTGTTACCATCATCTTCACTGGATAAAATGAGGTTGCATTCTTGGAGTCGACTCCACACAGTCCTGCAATCGTGCAGGAGCCTTTTCTGGCGGTCTTTCTCATGTTGCCTAGACTCTCTCTCATGTTCAAGGTGTTTCTGGAGAGAAAAAAGGCATGCACCATTAAGGATAGGGAAAGTCTGGCACACTGTACAAGCTTCGAAATGATAGTATCAAATGTTTTAACATTAAAATGGCGTCACCTCCATTTCGGCTTTCTCATTTATTGCTTGATCACGGTCCTGCTTCAACTGCTTCTGGGAACTTTGAAGAGATTTGAACTCTTTAGCAAGAAACTTTAGTTCAGCCTTTGATTTTACTTCCAATGCTTCATATTGCTTCGTTAGGTCCTCGAGTTTCTTTTTGGTAATGTCTAGCTCTTCCTGCGCGACATCCTTCTCATTTGTAGGTCCATCATCTAATTTCATGCTTGACTTTTCATCCTGCAATAGTTTTAATGTAAACAGTAAATAGTATCAGATGCTCTAACCTAAAAGAAAACCAAAACAGTTAAAAAAAGGAAGAATCTATACAGCAAAACCAATAGACAATGCAGACCTCTTTAGCCTTTAGTTTTAGCTCCATTTCAAAGGATTTCCGCCTAAGTTCCTCCATATCCCATTGCATTTGTGTTAGCCTCTCTCTTTCAACCAAAATAGCCTGCTGCAGGTTTTCCTTATTTTTCTGTTTAGAGGTTTCAAGTTCGACCTCTAGGTCCTTCACCTGGTTATAACAAATATCTAAAGCATTAGTTAAGATCCATGTGTGAGATAAAAATCATCGACAAATGAGCTGGAAGAACTCCTATCGAGCTACCATCTAGTCCAAATAAGAAACAAAAATCCAAAAAGCATTTCACTTTCGATCCACCAGGGCTTACATACCTTCTTAGCAAGATAATCTTTAATGGCTCTTTCTTGATTTAACCTTGATATCAGGTCCTCCATGTCGGTTTTTGCTGTGCCTAGCCGTCGTTGCATGGTTGTTAGAACTCTGCTCATTTTATGGCGTTGATCAAATGGAATAATTATTTGTGTATCGGCTGAAAGCTGCGACTCAATCTTGCTAAGAAATCCAAAAGAACTGGAAACCTCAGCTCCTCTTGCAAGGTCAAGAGATACATCAGCAGTGCCTGAATTTGATACACCAGCACTTTCACTGCCTCTCAAAGAGCTTCCATCGCTCCCAGCACTGTCACTAGACAATTTCCGAGCATGGCCTAGTGCCACCCTACCATGCTCTGGCTCAGAGAATGGTTCCACCCCATTGCCAACAATGGGTTGAACTTTGGGGGCATTACCATTGTACATGGAATTCCCCACAATGTTTGCATGTCTGGTGTGAGGTTTATGCCTAGGAAATCTTTCAAGCTTATCTAGGATAGTCTGCCCCATTAAGAGTCCTTCATCAATGTTGGAAATGCCATACTTCACTAGCTTTTCTGTTGGGTCTGTGAGATCTTCATCCAATGCTTGATCCTCCATCCCGATTTCAGAACTTTCATCCTTTCCCAACCTTGGAGTTCCAATCTCAGATGCTTCATAAGCAGTATCACTTCCATAATCGGAAGCAATTGACGAAGTCGCAGTAAGAGCAGACGGGCTCGAATTAGGAGGTATCTGAGATGAAGTAGGTGTAGCATCGCCAGTTAGAGCTGTTTCTGGAGACTCTTGATTTGCATCCTGAAAAGCTAAACAATGAAAGAGGGAGAGAGTTCAGCAGGGATACATCTTTTGAAACAACTGCATACACAAACCTTTGGGGTTTAAACAAAGAATCCTTTCCTATACGCCCCGAACCAGGATTGCCTGGACAGCCCTTAAGCCTCGGAATCTAAAAGAGGGTAGATGGTTGAGTTTTTCCTCTTGCAGATTATGGAAATCTGAGCTTCGCTGGAAAATTCTATACATGTGGCAACTACTTTTTTCCTCTTTAACAGGTAAATTTGCCACACATATGCAGGAGACTTTGGCCCCCAAGGCCTACAGTAATGCAGGACTTAACTACTCATCCCACAATCTTCCTAATCGCATATACAAGAATATGAATGGGTATATACAGGTGAGACTAGAAGGAAATAAGGGACATCTACATTGGTTCATTGGCTTAGTAACGTGTCTAAGGTCTGTTTCCTGTCCCAGAGGCGGATTAGCAACAAAATGGGTACAATTGGGACAGACTCTAATCCAAAATAGAAGTCAAGTCTAAGTCAAGTCTATAAGCCCTATGGATCAAATACAGGTAAACCTTTCTACAGTACAAAATAGAAAATGAAAATATACCCAACCTAAACATGGAGTACATACCAGACCTTGCAGCCGCTTCTAGTTCAAGAAAGGATCCAACTGCTATGCTTCTAGATAAATCAATATCGGACAGTAGCTTTGTCAACCATTCCTCCAAAGAGCATCTCCTCTGTGACACCACTAAGACTTTTAAGATTATTAGTCAAATATAGAATATAATCTAATAGAAAAATTCAAGTCCCAAGTGAATTGAGTAAATACTAAATAAAACTAATACATCCTAAGTATTGGACTAGCAGAAAAAATGACCATTTCGAGTTCTGTGAGTGTAACATCGTGCCACTGATAAAAGTTTAATCACCAAAAGTAGCAAAATCAATCAAATATTCTCAATGCTATTCATGATACCTATGTATGAACCTAAATTTATCGAAATGTATCCACCTTATAGCATGGTTCCATCACAGATCATAAAAGCATTTGAACTACACTCTGGGACTATAGAGTTGGTTTTCCAAGGAGGTCAAACTGTGCTGGCCAATTATGCATACCCTAAATACAAAAGGCAGATACCTCCAAACACAGTTAGCATTTGCCAAATCATGCAAATATCTTTACCACTTCTTCCATCATTCCTCATTTCAGTTTTCACTAGTATGTTTGAGCGAGATAATTTTTCTCATAGACCTATGGTTGAGCTGCTAATGTAATTTTAAGATGATTTGTTGGCGAATATCAGAATTTCTGAGCCAAGAGGATTGGGAACATTATGCATTTTGCTAGTGACAACAGGAAACAAACATTAGATATTATTGTTCATTCATAAGATTTTCCAGATAAGGAACCTCATTTTATCAGCAAACTACAAAGTCCTTCCAATAGTGATTCAAGCTTAAGTTAAGTAAATCTAAGGTTAACACCTCCAACTCTAGATGTGCTACAAGTATCTCTAAGGACTCCATAGACTTTGAGGACTAATGGTTAGTTTAACCCACTCGATACTGGGTAAAAAGTATTCAAAAACACAAACACAGATGCGGCTCGACAAGGGGGTGAGAGAACATCCATGGGAGCAACGTTTAATCATTATCAACAGAAAAACCACTACAAAGTTCAAAACAGATATCCTACCTCTTCCAACAATGCTCTGCTTTTCATACGCAATAGTCCCTTGGGTGGAGCTGGTGGAAGACTCTTCTTTGGAAATGCCTTTTTAAGCTGTAAAAGGAACTATTAATATGACACATTTTCCAAATGTTGTAAAATTCATCCAAATGGTAGATAAATGCCCATATGTTGTCCATACAAATAATTTATTCAAGCGAGTATCATAAAGAACAGTGAATTCAAAAATTGCCCAAGGGACTCAAGCAACCTATTATAGTAAGCTGTGAACTTACATCTGCAAATAACCTCAGAAAATCATTAAATCTTCTCAGTACTCCACGTGTAACTGTTAACCCTTCAGGTGATTGCAAACCAACCTGAACCCTGTAAAACTGCCCCTTATGATCGTTAACTTGAATGAAGTTCAGAACAAGTACAAAAATACCCATCCTTCATTTCCAAATGCATTAGAATGGTATTAAAACATAAAGCCTAGCAAAGAAATAGATGCACTGCCTTCCCAAGGAATTCCTTCACCCACAAAGCTCACTTACTAGATTCACAAATCATACAATGTTACACATTCATTAAAACAATAGAAGGGGATGGTGAACAAATATTGAATTCAAAAGGAAAAGAAACCACCGGTCCTAGATATTCACAAACTGCTAGAGGCCTGTACCCTAGTGGCTGCACTTATAGCCAATGGTGAATTCATCGATTTGAACCCCCAATCTCCTTGAACAACTCAGAGGTGACATCGAAGTCTACTACAAGATTAGAATGAGTTCTAACCAAGCTGAAGGTGGTCAACAAACAAAAACCTTTATGTTTTTCACTATGTTTTGTTGATGGGGATGTGTCTGAGCATATTAGTATATATATCCGTATCAAGCTAAAGAACTGGAATACATGAGCATTTATTAAGTGACCATCAAACGCATTACAGGACCAGATAAGTAAACATCCTAAACAAGGAGATGGGGGGATAGCAAGAAGCCATTAGTATTTGTAACTAAACCCAATATTTAGTTCAGCAAGTTCATGTCATAACAACTTCTAACCCTTAATATAAAAAGAAGAGGTTGGAGAGGCATTCAATTCATGTACCACTACAGGATCCGAATCTCTTGACTTTGCAAGGACAACCCAGGAAGGCACAGTGACACAATAACTCCATCCCGTTCTAGGATCATGTGGCCAAACAGTGTCTCGTCCACTCTGCAAAACAAATTGTATTTATCCTTAATCTTTAGATGCACCAAAACAGTTGCAGAGATAGCAGGTGCGGCTATACCAAAAATTTGAAGGACAAACAAGAAAGTGCATCAATCCTTAATCTTTAGATGCACAAAACTTTTCCAGAGATGGCAGGGTGCTGCTAAACTAAGAACTCCCTAGGACAAACAGCAAATTTATCCAAAGGGTTCCAGTTAAGTGAAAAGGAAAGATCACTCGCTAACACATCCATGCAAATGATTGGTGACCAATGCTTGCCAGACTGCATTATGCATTTAACTTCTAGTTAGTACCTTTCTTACTTATTTTAAATTCCCTGAAATCTTATTGCTGATGAACAAAAGAAAAGTTGCTACAACATATTCTCTACAGGTGTAAACCCTAGGTGATTCCATCCTGCAGATTTAGAACAGATCTGATATATTTAACAAAAGAATAACCATTAAATGCAAGAGTGAACATTCAATCAATTCAGTGTTCGAACTGTGATGTCAATATCGCCTATAAAGAAACTAATAGATCTTAGAGCAAGAAATTAGGAAAGGTTAATTCTCAAACGTCAGAACAGTTTATGATACTTAAGGAGGTACGAAGGATTTGTTCCCGGGTCACTATAAATATGGGAGGAAGTTGTGATTGATTGTCTAGTGTACTCAGAAAACCGAGAAGGTACCACCAATTGCCACGTACCCAAATCCTGCACTTGCTTCGGCTAAAATACCAACATAATGGATCTAAAGCAACCGAATTCCGGATGAGATTCAAGCTCACAAGGAATGCCACGAGTACAGAGAATTATGTGACCTGGTAAAGCTACCGAAAGCGTTTGCACTTATTATCGCCAACTGATGCAGTAATAAATGACATTGATCAATCACCTAATCATCCTAACTTCACATTCCTAGTTTTCATAGAACCATAAACTTGGAAAGCCAGTTAGATCAAGCTGTCACAGGTCAGCACAATCATGTCACGGATCAAATGCCATTATGACTAGGAAAGCTAGTTCACTTCCAAGCATATTCTATACAGACCAAAAAAACTGAAGACAAGATCCAATTCTGACCAAACTCTAATCCAATCACTCAAGAGAGTTCGATCAAGGGCGAGTAGCAGCTCGGTGGCAAGCAAAATGAAAGGAGTACCAATAATTAGGAGGAATTGTTACCCATTTCCGAGGAGGAGGGCTCCAATCCATCCCCAGGGGCAAAGGCGAAGTCCCATCGTGTCTGTGCTTCGGTGGACTCCGTCTCTGCATGATTCCTTCTCTTCACACCGTCTATCTCACTTGCAGTATCTATTTCCAGGTACCTTCAAGAAATCGAGAATGATCGCTGAAGATCACTCTCTCTTTCTCCACTCGCTCGAATTGGATCAGGGCCGCAAATCCGGACTATCTACTCTCCAATCGTCAGGAATAGAAACACCGAAATCGAGAGCATCGAACCGATAAGCTAGGGTTTTAGGATCAGGATCAGAGAAGCGATGAGTGGATGAAGGAGGAGGAGGAGATAGCAGAGGTAGCGTCGGATGGACGGGATTCTCATTTCATCATCTCCGTCACGGTTTGATCCGTTCAGGATTTCCTCCGTGGAGGAGCGCAACACGACGACGAAGACCAGGTGGCCGAAGAAATGAAGCGCCGTAGCCAGGCGGAAGCGCGGCGGAGCGCAACGTGTCAACTGCTGGTAATTGATTTTTTCCGTTTCCTCCTCGGGTCTTCTCTGTCTCTCTCTTCTCTCAGTATATTTTTCTCTCCTAGTCCAACTGGAGCTGCGAGACGGCGAGACCGAGAACAAGAGGCGAGCGACTGGCTCGGATTAATGGGCTGCCTGAAGAAGCAAAAATCGAATTTCTATTTTTTATGTTTTCTCTCACAAACAAGAAAACTTATTTGTTGTCATTCTTCCCAGCGGGGAAGGCAAGAGGAAAGAATCAAAGAATACTCCACGTCTCCACCTAATTGTGGGAACCGGGTTGTGGTTTACCGGTCCAACCGAAAATCAACCATTTGGGTGGTTTATGGTTAACCAAAACCGAATTCCATAAGGCCAACTACAGTTTGGACAGTGGCCCGTGAGTTTGCCCAATTGATGGTTTTCGGTGCAACCAGAAACGAATTGGTTTCCGATCAAAAAGTCGAGATGAATTTACTCACAACATAACGAGTTCAATTGATTAGTCGTACCCCAAACTGAATTTCCTACAATGATAAATTGACAAATCGAATGTTGAAATAAGTTGTTAATTGTCATAAAATTTCGATGAAACGGAATAAATCGAAAGGCCGGGGATCCGTAATATTGCAACCAAAATATGAAAGCAGCAAATTGCAAATCTTTGTATTGTTGATTTTTAAGGAAGAAAGTGGAAGCAGATAAAGAAGAAGATTATAAATGAATTATGGCATCAATAGACTTTTATTGTGAAAAAATAGTTTCACAAGAATCAAAATTAATTGATTCTTTTGGAAGTTGTGATAGTTTTGCTGAGATTGTCATTATGCATGTATTGTTTACAATGCATCGTATTTTTGTTTTTTTAGCAGAAACAATACATGGATTGTTTCTGTGATGTGACAGAAACTATCACTCATTTTGAGGGATTGTTATATCTCAACTTTTAGTTGTGATTGTTGAGATAGTTGAGTTGAGATTGTTTTGTCTCAGCTTTTAGCTGATGCGACATAAACAATCACACATACCAAACGTTGTATTCTACAATGCATCAAATTCGACAATACATGTATAATATTATACATGCATTCTTAACAATACATCTATTTAACAATCGCAACTTCCAAACGACCCCTAAGCAACCAAAAAGCAATTTATATGAAATTAATTAATTAAGCAATAAAAATCCACTAATTATTCTATCAATAAAATAAAGTAAAAAATAAAAAAAGAGCTTCATAAACATCTTTACAAACACACTTGCACTTTCCTTTTCTTCCAATGTGATATTTTGTACACTTGGACATGCACTAACTCGAACACTATATATATATATATATATATATATATATATATATATATATATATATATATATATATTTTTTACTGATTCATCCAAGAAATATGGGATTTTGATATTTTAGATACATGTAGATATTCAAGGCTTGCTTTTCGACCACATATACGTTGTTTTCTCCTTATTCTGAATTCTGATTGAGTAGCCCTACAAATAATCTCAACTAACGTCCTCTCCCAAACTTTAAGGACCACGTACAGTCCTCAACGCTAGTTGACACATTTGTGAGAGATATGAGTGAACAACTTTCGAATTACTGAATTTCCTTCATAGTTGATTTTTTTCTTCTTCCATATTACAAGTATAACTGTCGTGTACCATTTTCTATGTACACAACATTCCAAACTCCCCTCTCTGTTGTTTCAAATATAATTCCCTTTCTTTCTTCCCGGTGAGTACCTATCTGTTATGGTTAGTTGACAAAATTTCTTAATCACATGCCATTCCTATGTAATGATTGCAGACTCGGATAAAATTGAGAAAAGCCCCATATTAGACCGGCGTACTGAAGCAATAATATGTCCAAACAAAAGAGATGTTAATTAAGAATTCGATCATTTAGGATAATCGAAAGTTCTTTGTGTTTCAGATGATTCCACAAACTCACAATACATTGCGCATCACGCCATCGCCTAATTACCATGTTAATATTGAAAGTCATCAAACATCTTACCTTTTCTCCAAAGACATCAACACCATAGCGAGAACCAATTCGCCACAACAACTAGAATTATTATGAGAATCCAAAAATTTAATCTCGTTTTCAAACAAATTACATAATTAATTAAAATAAATTAAGATCCACAACAGCGTAACTGGACAATCAATTGATTTAACATACATGTATATAACAGCGTACTTGATTACACAGACACACATGACATGACACAACAAGAAAGAAGGTACAAGGCAAACAGGCTTGCCCAATTATTCCAAACAAACAAATTCCATAATTAAGTAAAATAAATTAACGGCTTCCGAAACTAATTAGAACTAAACAAGAACCCGTACGAACACGGAAGAAGCATGAAAATAACTTTAAAAAAATAACCAAACCGGTACAAATCAAGCTGACGGCAGCCCCACGTAGGAGAAATCGTCCTAATTAAGGTCCGTACGTAATCAACGAATCATTAACAAACTCCATGCACGCACGTGGCCGAATTGAGTACTAATCATGCACAATTACACGCCAATAAATTAAATCCCAAATCAGCACTGGAACCCTGGAGGCACCTCCTTCTCGCAGGCGGAGAGGAGCAGGCTGAGGGCGACGGGGACGGTGAGGTTGATCCCGAGGACGTTGGCCTTGATGACGGTGCAGAGGCACAATGCGGCCTCCAGGTCCACCAATCCTTCCAGCACGGCGCAGCACTTGCTCGCCGGAGGGGTCCCGATCACCAGGTGGACCAGCCCTCCCAAAAGGTCGGCGCACGCCCCCAGCTTCAACGCGTCCTTCGGGCACTTCGCCGGCGGCGCGGGAGCCGGCTCCTTGGGCGGGGACTTGCCGCAGGCGCAGTCCGTGGTGACGGCGGCGGAGAATGCGGTGAAGAAGAGGAGGTTGGTCATGAAGAAGACGGCGGTCAACTTGTTGCTAATTACGGCGGCCATGGCGGCGGCTGTGGAGAGTGTGTTGAGTGGGTTTTTTTTGGGTGAGGTTGGATGGTGGGTGGGTGTGAGTGGGAGTGGCGCTGTGGGAGTGTTATAAAGTGGAATTGTGAGGTGGGAATTGAGTGGAAGAGAAAGGGGGGATGATAATGTTGTACTGAATAGTGATTCACATGGCTAGGGTTTTGGACGTTTGTTGGGCGAGAGAGAGGGAGGGAGAGAGATATTTGGTGTGTGGTAATTTGTTAGTTTGTTGGGTAGTTTGGGCTTTTGGGCCACTGGTTTTGCAAGTTGGGATTTTGCAACGTTCACGAGTGTGTTTGGTGAATCTTCGCGCTAGGGTACGTAGGGCAGCTGGCTGGCTGGCTTCAGCAAGGATCGTACATGGACAACTACCATTAATTTGGCCGGGCCAGATTGGGCATTGCATGTGTTGTTCATTGTGTTGGGAGCTAGCTAGCTAGCCTAACTTGGTTCATCCTCATCTTAGACAAAAAGGTGACTCTTAGAAAGATATTGTAACCTAGAGCCTTGGAGGATGCTAGGGTTTATCGGAGGAAAAGAAGAAGAAGAAGGGAAGTGAGAACTTATAGTTTGGGAGATATTGGCGGACTGCGCGCTTTCGTTGGTTTTTCATTATTGTATATGTTGATGTGATTTGAAGAATCGGACTATCAGGCTATTACTGGATGTTACGTGGATCTCACTGTTTTGAGCCTGGTTGTAACCACTTTCCTTTACCATATTGGACTAGGGTTAGATCACAAGTACTATAAATACTTCTCATACTCTGCTATATATCCTCGAAGTACAATGAAATTGGCTCTCTCCTGCCCGTGGACTAGCTAACATACATCAAGTCAGTGAACCACACTCAAATTAGTGTGTCGTGTTCTTTCTTATTTTTGTTTTAATTTCTTGTTGTACCGTACCTCCTACTTTCCCGATCTACAAAGAAACAGTTCGTGATGCGCATCGGCGGATCCAGGGGGCCTTCCCAGGGCCACGGCTCAGCCCTCCCTTGGATTCAGAGCTAGTATAGCTCTTGTAAATTTTCAATTTTTTGTGTTAGTTTCGGTGCTTGTCGTGTTACGGCCCAGTCCTCTCCATCTTTTTTCAAATGTGGCCAGTGCTCTAATCTATCTGGATTCGCCGCTGGTAATGCCTGATCAGTAAGTATTGTGCAACGGTAACAAAAGCTATCCAAGACATTGGACTATTACTCTAAGCGACGATACCTCTCTTCTGTGGTACCACTTGAACCAACTCATTGTCTTTGCCTCTTCGGTTGAACCGCTAACCATACCCAACTCCAAGTTAAAGGAAGCTAGAGTCGTTCTTCTTCTTTGTTCTTCCTGCGGCAATGTACCCGAATTAGAGGTGGCAATTAGGATCCAAATCCATGAATCCAATCCAATCCATCCACCAAATTATCCACTTAATCCAATCCATTTAAATCCAATCCATTTGATCCAAATCCAATTGGATTGGTGGATTCATGGATCAATCCACACATCCAAATGGCAAATTACGATTTGGTACCTATATTTTTTATATTTTACATTTTGGTACCTAAAATTTATATTTTTATACGAAAAATATCATTGGAAAATTACATTTTGGTACCTAAATTTTTTCATTATGACATTTTAGTACCTAACCTTTTCAAATTTTACATTTTGGTCCATGCCTTGGATGTCATTTGGATTCATGGATCAATCCACCAATCCATTGGATCCAATCCATGAATCACCAATCCATTGGATCCAATCCATTTGATCCATGGATCCACCAATCCAATCCACGAATCCACGAATCCGATCCAATTGCCACCTCTAACCCGAATCCAGGGAGCTTGCTCCGACAACTCCTCCATTTATCTTCCCACTAATCCATGAGTAACCAGGAATAAATGCTCGTCATCTTCACAAGCTCACTAGTTTAAAATTGGTTAAGATTCATATAATTATCCTCCTACGTACTAACAATAAGAGTTATTTGAACCACTTTGATTTATAATATGATATTATAATCTTCTGAGATAATCCCATTTGTTAAGTATCTGTTATTCGTAACCTAAATTAAGGCTTCGATTTAGGTTATTATCAACTTCATATTTCTTGAGTGGTTGAAAGACATTGAAGTTTAAGTATATATTTACAAAAATTATAAAATTTATTAATAAGTTTTCCATTTAACGTTGGCATGTACATGGTAGAATCTAGCTACCATGTTGATATGGTGGGGTGGCACTAAAAGCAACTCCATTGAACCAGGGGCGGAGCCAGGATTTAATCATCGGGGGGGCCGGAATTTTCTTAATACGTTACACCAAAAGAGGAAAAACTAGTAATAAAAATTATTTTAAAAACATATTATTATAATTAAAACTCAAAACTTTTTCACATTGAGTTCACTACAAATCATAAAAAAATATAATGACAATAGTCGAATTAGCTAATAACTAGCTTCCGAAAAAGAAAGGAGAGGGCTACTGCTTACCAAAAAGGCAAAAAAATAAAATATATGCTCACCTCAAGAATTGAACCCGTGACCATTTGGTCCTTCTAAATTGCCAGTTCCGCTAGGCTAACTCAAATTTCATGTTATAATCTGCACGCTTTGTCTTTTTATTAAATACTTTCTTGTTTATACGTATTATCCTAAACCGTTTACACGTAAGTTCGAGATTCTCGGGGGGGCCGGGCCCCCCCTTAGGGCCAATGTAGCTCCGCCCCTGCATTGAACCTTGATTAAGACTTCGTTACTATGACTAGGTTGGCTATTTAACGCCACATATCTTCTCGTATATAGGAATGTGATAAGAATATGTTTTTAGTGCAAACAATGATTTGTACGCAATGGGTGCATACATAAGCATACTTATTGACCTTATACTAGCGCAGGGCCCGACCCGTTGGTCGGGAAAATTTAGCCTGAGAATTTAGGCGGAGGATGTGTGTTTTTGTATTTAGATATGCAAATGGTTGAATTATATATAATTCGCTTACAATATATAAAAAAAATATAAAATATAATCTAAGAAAATAATTTTAATTTTTCAGTGGAAATAAAGGAATGAATATAAGTAATTGTCTTTCATTTGAAAATACTTATCCTCAATTTGATGGAAGTTAAAGAGTTAATCAAACATTTTCCTTATTAGTCATGTTTCTTGTTGATCACACAGCGAATTATAGGTACAGAATAGGATAGAAATAATAAGTTGGACAATTTAGTGAGTTTTCGTTGGCGTTCAAATGAGAGTAGCTCTAGATATGTGCAACAACCACATAATTGTTTCCCTGCAGATAACCACATAATAACCAGTCACATCTAGTAAGTAAGTAAATTGTTACTCAATCAGATAGGGCTGGACAATCGGTTAGCAGTTAGTAGTTAACTGACCAGTTACAATTGAAATCGGCCGGTTATCTGCTAACCGAAAATCGATCAATATTCGAAGGGATGGCGGAGATGATTTTGGTTTTGAGGGCAGTTCGATTAACCGAAAATCGAGATAACCGAAGCCTTAAGGTCTCTTTCGGTCGGTAGGTGTGGTAGATGGTTCGGTTTAACAGATAACCGACCATGCAGTTATCGGTTATAACCGAATCGACCGAACTCCACCCTACAATCAGCAAAAGTGGGTGGAAACTTTTGGTGCAAGTGTAAATCCTGCTCTACTCAAGTCTATCATGTTTGGGCATCATAACTCAATATAGAATTTATATTATCTGATAATGAAAAATAATTGGTGGAGGCCGATCAAAGTATGAGTCCATAGACAAACTGACACATATAGACACATTCAAACACCCTCTGCTTCTCTCTCTCGGCTCAGCTCACCTCACCCTAAACTCAAAACCAAAAGTGGTTTATTGAGCAAGTTTCACTGTCCTCTAGGTCACACAAATTAAAGAGGAAACCCAACCATAGAGAAGGGAAAGGCAAGAGTAGAAAAAAACCATCTCCTATTCAGTTTTCCTCTAAGTTAGTTCTATGGATATTGTTACTTGATTCGATACGGATAATTGACATGAATGTAATTCCTCAAGTGAGTGAAATTGGGCAAGTCGTTTGGCATCTTCATAGAAGTATTCATCTTTTATCTTGTGTTTGATTACTCTGAATATGAGAAAAAGATATCGATGTGAGGTGGTATTGTTCATATAAGCAATTTTTTTTTTGAGTAACATACATTAAAACAACATCAACAACCCGGTTTAGTAATGGGTGCATGCAATTGGGAGCAATTTAAGTTCAAGTATAAGTTTGATGCTTGGCATGCAACGAACGACCTGTTAGATCTATAATGAGAATGTATGATTTTATGTTAGATATGTTTTCTAAAATATATGATGCATCAACTTGCATGGTAACCTAGTTGAATGAGTAATAAGTTGGCAAAAATGCAATTACCATGTAATTTTTCCGTGTACTAAAGTGATCGCATAAACCATATCTGGTTGTGGTTGATTTGGAATTACCGTTTCAAATTGATCAACCAAGGAGTCCTTCGATGCAACTTTGATGAAAGATCCCCTGTAAATTTGGAAGTAGTAATTTTTAAGTCGTAGTTAAAATATAAAATAATTGAAATTAAAATGAAAGTGTCAATTAGAGTATTTACTTAAGTAATTTTGGAAGCACATTCTACGTCCTTATTTAGAAAACACCTTGCTCAAGTTTGGATACGGGTTGAGAATGGTAAATTTCAGCCACCAAATCTGTGATACGAAATGACCGGTTAAAAATTAAAATTGGGGAGCATCAATAATAGACATAACAATTCTACTCTTTGGTAATATATATATAACATGCTCACTGATTGGTACATATCAGTACGCATACTGTGGTCTTATGCAAAGGAAATAAGATGACAGTGATAATTGAGGGAGATCATTTTTAGGAGTAATAGTTCTACTCTGTGGTAATAGCATTTTCAACAATTTGTGGTGGTAGACATTGACGTACACACTTTGTGTGGTCGTGTAAAAGAAAAGAAAATGACAGTGAACCATCAGTTCTGGATGGATAGCTAAATCTAACCAATAAGAAGTGAGTATGGTTGAGACATCAAACCTGACAAATATTCAGCGGTGTCATCATAAGTTGTTGGGAAGCTTGAAGTTATCAGGAATGAGGAGCCGGAAGCTAAATGAGAATTGAGAGAATGCCAGTTGAACCGACCACAGGGTAGAAGATGAAAAGATTCATCTATATATACACTCTGTCATCTGGGCTTTGAGCCGCAGCTATTGATCCATTCTAACTCTTTTGGATTAAATTTCCAACATTCAAGTTCAAGGCCATGCAAAATGTAAGGAGTCATTGATTCTTTGGTACCGCAGGCTAAAATTCAAGCTGTAACCCCATACCAAAAGCAATACATAAATGATTAAATTTACCTTCTTCTCTCTCTCGTCTCCCTCCGAATTCCAATGCCGAAATCCAACAAAATCCGCCACATCGTCAGAATCCAGCAGATGCTCAAGCAATGGCGGAGGAAGGCCCGAGCCAACGCCTCCTCGGCTTCCTCCTTCTCGAACTCGTCGCCGTCGAGAGCCGCCGCGGCGACGTCCCTGCCGGGCACCTGGCCGTCTGGGGCGAGCTGCCGGAGATTCGTCGTCCGGGCGACTCACATCAACCATCCGATCTTTAGGCGCATCCTGGCGCATGCCGAGGAGGAGTTCGGTTTCGCCAACGCCGGCCCGCTGCGGATCCCCTGCGAGGAGATGGAGTTCGAGGAGATTTTGAAATTGGTGTCGAGATCCGATTCGATCAGGAGGTTTTTGCATCTGGAGGAGATTCAGTGGTGCGCTCACTCCTGTGTTGTTCGGAGGAACAGCAACAGCGTGGAGTTCGTCGGAGACTCGAGGCCTTTGTTCCGTGGTTGAGATCGTCGGAGGAATTGTTGTGGTCAGATTAGCTAGGGTGCTAACTCGTTGGCTCACTGAGTCGAGAAAGGTGAACTCAGTGGGCGAGTTCAGTTTTTTTTTTGTTTGGTATAAAACGGTGTATTTAGTATTGTTTAAGTATCTTCTTGAATTTTTTTTTTTTTTCAAGTTTGGGAAGTGAATTATGGGAGGAGCTGAATTTTGATTAAATTGTTATTATTGTTTAACAAAGTTTAGTAACGTAATAATTACTATACCTCCTTTCTCGCAACCTCGTAAATTATAAACTAAGATTTGCTGGCAGGCAGGCTTTCACACTTGGATCCAAGGACGAATTCTTCACCTGCTGTCATAGTGGCCCATTTTAGGCCCAATTTAGTTACTCCATGCCCCGTTGGTCTCAAATGGAAGGAGCCCTCAACTTGAAAGATACAAAACGCAGCACTTCATTAAATATGCAGGGGTAGGAAAAGACTAAAATGCCATTCCGTGAAGCTCTCAGAAGCCAGCTTTTTTGAATCCCTGCAATTTGGAGTCATGAATATTAGGGCTGGGAATCCGGTCTCGGTTTTACGGTCAAACCGGAAACCGGGCAGTTTAAACCGCTCCGGTTGTAACCGGAAACCGGATTCCAAACAATCCAATCCAGTTTGCGGTTGTACTAGTCATTATCCCGGTCCGATCCGGTTAAAACCGGAAAACCGGATCCATAACATTTCCATTTAATAAGCCCAAAAACCAGCCCATTGATATGCAGAATAAAGCTCTGCCCTAAACAAAAAATAAAACCCATCCCCAGCCCAACAAAACACGAAGCCCAACCCAGTCCCAAGTGAAGCCCTTCTAAGTTCTAACCCTAATCCCTTTCTCGGCTCTGGCTCGCGCAGCCGCACCTCTGCCAGAAGAGGATGAACGACGGAGAGTCGGAGACAGTCGAAGCCAACGACCGACGATGAGGCCCGAAGCCGACGGGACGAAGCTGACGAGGCCCGACAATCCTTCTATGTTCTCTTCCCAGCAGCTGTCTTTCAATCTTTCCGTCTCTGACCTCGAAACTCTCACTTCTCGTCTGCCTCTCGATCTCTCAATCTACCTGGCGTGAGAGTTCTTTGTAGAGGATAGAAGGAGACTAACAACATCGGCCACCAGTGAGACCTCCAAAGCTTGCATGCGTCCTCTCTCCCTCGATCTCGCTTCGATTTTCCAATTCCAGCGGGGCCTTGGCGGAGAGGAGAAGAAGTCGAGTGGCCAGCCAATAGCCTCCCTCCAGCTCGATTCGTCGACGGCCAATTCATTGAGGAAAAACCAAGAGGAGATGGTGGTGATTGTGAATCCTATGTTTTAGCTTTGCTTGATCGGCTTCACGGGAGAAAGAGTTGCTCGCCATCGCCATTTTGTAAAAGAAGAGGGCCAGGGAGGAGGGAGAAGAGAGGAAACTGAAAGGTGATGGACGATTGAGTGGATAAACATTGTGTGGTTAGGAAGGAGGAGGGGAAGCCAAGCGTCCCACACTTTTTTTTTAATTTGTAAACGACGCGTATTGGTGTAAACCTGCACAACCCGGATTTTTTGGTTAAAACCGGACCGGATTAATCCGGTCACGGTTGAAACCGGATCCCCATCCAATCCAATTCCCGGTTGCTGATATAGCCAAAACGGTTTCAAAAAACCGGGTTAATCCGGTCCGGTTTTGACCGGATTAAACCGTTTCCCACCCCTAATGAATATGCTTCATATATTTTATAGATATGGGATAGTGGATACACACCTTTTTTTGTAAGACAAATTCTTATGACATTATTTCCATTCATTCACCACAAAGATATATACGTCGATGGTCACATATTTATATACGAAAATCTATTAGTTTATACATGTGCATTACCGACTTTATACATGTTCACATCATAATTCCTTCATTCGTTAGAGTATTTATCAAATTAAGAATTAGAGACTAGATGAAATTCTAAAGTATTCTTGTTGCGTACTATGTTGTGGTGGAATCAGAGATTTAGGAGGGAGAGGTGTGACATTAATGAAAGAAAGCTCAACTTATTTGAATTTGTTTTATTTTTCTAAGTTATCACAACATAATTTGACATTTCAGAAGTCACAATGAATAGCTTGGCCACTCTTCCCTTTGTACACCAACTAAGGACGAGGATGACAATAGGATTTGAGTGGAGCTAGTTTTTTTACATAATATTCTTGAATTACAATTTAAAATCGTAACTATCACCATAATCAAATGTGGATGGAGATGGATAATGACATACCAAAATTTATCCATATGTAGTATGAGGACCACCCACATGTATCGGCTGCGAACAATCATGTATAAAGTTATTAATATAATGTAAAAGTTTTCTTAAAATGTCAATTTTAATTGAAATTTCTTTGTTATGCTCTTTGTAAAAGTGAGAGAAAGTGAGCAAGAATTGGGGTTTAGGACATAATTATTATGTTTAAGAAATAAGTGTGATCTAATTGTTGAATCGAGTGAGTTTAGAACATAGTTAATTTGCAAGGCATAACTGGGCGGGTTCAATGCAAATATTTAAAATATAGAAATCAAACCAAATTTAGTACCTTACAAGTCGAGCTCGGGGAACCCACAAAAAAATATCAATTAAATTTTCTTTCATAAACCCGATTCGAATTTGATTGGATAACCACTACAATTAGTTATTCTCTCATCTGTATCACCACCCTACCTCCTGTATTTTACCTACAGCAGCAAGAGTATCTGCCCTTCCCTGTGTTTTTGTGTTCTTTCTCTGTCCCATTTTAGAGACGTTACATGAGCAAACATTTTCACACCAAAGTGGATATATATTATGAATCCTCGAACAAAAATTAGTATTTTGTTAGTTAACATATATTCGATGTCCATTTTGTGAAAAGAAAAAAAGTGTCAAGTCGTCTATGAGACTATGACAATGAGGACTTAATTTACACTTATTCATATTTCAGAAAAATGCAAAAAAATCTTATGTGACCTGCTGTAACGCAGCTGAATGGCCATTCCTTCCGCCAAATGTGTCGACACCGAAGAAGAAGCTGGAAAGAAAACAGAAACTAAATAAAATAAAGAATAATTGTCTTTTAAATCCTTATATTATAGTTTCTGAATAAGTTCTCATACTATGTTGTTGTTAGAAGAAAGGTCCCTATATTTATTATATTTTGATCACACGAAACCGTTATATGTGACATCAAACTTCACAATGACTCGGCATACTTTATCAATCAAATCTACAACTAGGCTTGTTTCTCCATTTTTACCCATGTCCTATTTGTCAGAGTTAACATGTAAAAAAGAAAAATCATCGCAAAATGAAATTGTGATATATTAAAGGTTTTTTTTTTATACATCTTGCCTCTTCAATTCGAGAAGATATGAACACCGTCACCAACTAATCGGTTCATCTCTATGTGTCATTGGTCATATGTTTTTTCCTATTACCCCTCACATTCTCTATAAGCTTACACTCTTATCCTGGAAACCAAAATTATCAATAAAATATTGTGTTAAATTTTTTTGGGATAAACATCCCCAATTGATCGAATTAGTTTGTTCACAATTGAAATTCTACTGGTAAGATTGGGACTGGGAGACTGGGAGTGAGACTCTCAAATTTATTAACCATTTTTTTCATTAATAACTCATATTTTCGTTAGGAATTAGCTTCATGACTGACAAACTTTCATCTACTACAAGAGTTCTAAAACAAATTGCAAAAGATCAAGGAGAGGAAGTATGCCACATAGAAAGGAAAGATCTTCAAAATTTGTCAAAGAAAAGGGGGGATTAAGAAAATCACTGATTATTTTATCAAATAAAGGACTAGTTTTTACCTGTAACAAAGTACATGGACTTGGTCGCTATAAATCATCAGTGCGAGGGCTCATTTGTCAGAAGACATAGTATGTGGACTCAACATGATAATAAACCATTTTAAATAAATCTACCGGCCTTTGTGAGGGGACGGCTTGGACAATGAGCGCTCTTTCTCGCACGGCATCACGTTGATTGCCGATTGGGCCCAATCTTTTAGTAGGTCGACAGAAGTTTAAGAGAGAGAGAGAGAAAGAGAGAGTAGAGAAAGCCAGCTCTCTTGGAAAGCTTTGGATGATTCAATCAATCCCACTCCGATTCAGATTAGAAAACTAAAATAATCTTCCGACAAAGGCAGAGAATCGGGAGACGAAGCTTCTCTGGTTTCCGATCTCTGTAGAGATCCCCGGCGGCGGGTATGGCGATTCTCTACGCGCTCGTGGCGAGGGGATCGGTGGTCCTAGCGGAGTTCAGCGCGACGGCGACCAACGCCAGCGCCATAGCCAAACAGATTCTCGGCAAGATTCCTGGAAATGACGACAGCCACGTCTCGTATTCTCAAGATCGCTACATCTTCCACGTCAAGCGCACCGATGGCCTCACTGTTCTCTGTATGGCCGAAGAGAACGCCGGAAGTAAGCCTTTCCGCTCTGTTCTTCTTTCCTCTTTTTTCGTCTCCGGTTCCGGTCAATGGCGGCGTCGATCCAGTAGTGAAATTGTGTTTGAAGTAGGATTATGACTATGTTTTGCTTGTACGTTTTGTCAATTGGTCGGTTTGGCAGGAAGAATTCCATTCGCGTTTCTCGAAGACATTCATCAGAGATTTGTGAGAACTTATGGCCGTAGTGTTCACTCAGCTCAAGCTTATGGTATGAATGACGAATTCTCCAGGGTTTTGAGCCAGCAAATGGAGTACTACTCCAGCGATCCCAATGCAGATAGGATGAACAGACTGAAAGGTGAAATGAATCAGGTAAAGGCTTTTTAGTGCTCTTTCGTCTTTGTTACAATGAGTTTTCACTTTCAGTTGATGCTCCATGGATGCTTTTTAGATAGGTTTCGAATTTTGAACTCTTTACAGTTGATGCTTCATCTACGCCTGCTTAGTTCGATTGTTCGGATTGATATCTTCAGATTTCCCGTCAGTTTTCATCTCTGCTAGAGAAGTAGGCTGATCGTTGAGTTGATTTATGCAATGGTTGATCAGGATATGTGGAGGATAGTATGTGAAAACTTACTGCTTTACCATTGTGGAAAATGAAATTACTGACAGACTGCTTGGTTGAGAATGGCGACTTGAGCTTACAGACAGACTGCTTGAAACATGAACTTCCTCTTCATAAAATGCGTGTATAATCTTCTTAGACATTGTGCAACAGGTGCGAAATGTGATGATTGAGAACATCGATAAGGTGCTGGAGAGAGGCGATCGCTTGGAGTTGCTGGTAGACAAAACATCCAATATGCAAGGAAACACCTTCCGTTTCAGAAAGCAAGCTCGCCGGTTCAGAAGCACAACATGGTGGAGAAATGTGAAGCTGATGTATGTTAATCTCATCTAAAAGGAAACGAACACCATTTTAAGTTCACCGATTTGGATGTCGATTTGGCTTAGAAGTTTTAGTAGTTCGTTCATCCTGCTGATCTGTTTCTTTTTTGTTGTTGCAGGATTGCTCTGATAGTCCTTCTCCTAGCGGTTATATACGGTGTACTGGCTTTCGTCTGCCATGGACTTACATTACCTACTTGCTTGTAGAGAGGGCAACTGTTGATTGCGACATTTCGATTGGCTTTTTGTGTGCTTATAGTGAAGTCATTTTTTCTCATCTCAGTTGCGTGTTGAAAGTTATATTTCAGAACTCTTTGGCATACTTAAGTTTGTTGTTAGATTTCGGGTTCGCAGCAATGTGAAGCACTCGATTGCTTGCTCGCATGGTCTCTCTTGCTTGCACTGGTTCTGGTTTTGTATGCTTCGTTTACCTTGTAATCATCAAGGAGTGAACTTAAGTGGTTGTTAGCGATGTAAAAATCTGTGCTGCATTTGGGGTTCGTGGTACTTTCTTTCCAGTCAATGGGTGAACTTAAGTGGTTTTGGTTTGTAGAAATTGTCATTGAGCCTCTTTAGGCCTTTACTCTGCTAATAGCTACTCGTTGCAATTGGAGATTGAATCAGCAAGATTAATTGTTTCTCTAGACTCCATTATCATAAATTGTTTCTCTAAACTCAACTGGTGCTATGTGCCAAATATGGTTTAATTCAGGATTTGAAACGAAAGAACTTGAAAGGTAGAATTCAAGCACCATTATCATAGCAGGCCTGCACTACGACAGCTGACTTTGGTTCTGTACCTTCCCTTGGACCTAAATTCTTCCATCGGAACCAAACTAGAAATGATCAATTGCCTTTCGCGGCATAAGAAGTAGGAACTTCGAAATCCATTTCATGAATTCTACACTGAACACATACCGATGTTATGTGAAGAATAGGATCAAATGAACTCGGGAAGAAGCATGAAACAGTAAAGATGTGACTTATATCTCGCAACTGGGTATAAGTTCCCGTTACTGAATCAAGGAATTGCCTTGAGTTGAAACACTTCAACTACTCGAACGGACGAAAACGAATGTTGAGAGAAACCTGCGACCCTAGCGATTCGGTGAAAGCGGACTCGGAAAGGCGGGGACCGGCGGTCGGAATGAAGGGACTGAGTCGCGGCCACCGAGTTGGCTAGAGAGAAATGTGCGTTGACACATGGGGACTGTCAACATGTTATCCACGGGCCCGGGTTCGTTTCTAATGGGCCCAATAAAGTCGAAAATCTGAGCAAGCGCCCTGGAATGAGATGAGGTCCATAAAATACCCAGACATAGCGGGCCCAATTCGTCCTCTGAATAATTAACTCTCACGTCACGGCAAGTATTTAATAACCAATCACTAAAGAATATACCGCAATAATAAATAATTTAAACCTTCAAAAAATTGTCAGTTGCTCTTCGAAGTATCAACATTTTTTTTTCTATTCATTCATGAAAAAAATGTCTTCATTTGTATCTTCTAATATTTGCAAAACATACCATAATCGGACTCGAGAAACTGCCTACAAATTTTACAATCTCTATTCTCTACTTTTTCCTCGTACATCAATCAATAGCATTAACTAGAAACACGTGCGAGGTATCTGTTGGCCCTAATCCTCGTGGGCCCAAGGATCCAACTGAGTGATTTCTATTTCAAGAAGCCCAGTCAATCTATCAACCCCTAAGGCCCTAACGTCCTTCCGTATCAAATACATACACCGATCACAACGACGTCGTAGAGACAACAAGTGACAGTGAGACTAGGGATGTCAATCCAACCCGTAACCATGGGTACCCTACCCGACCGTAATCGGTCAACGAGGGTAATTACCCGCTTTGACGGGTAAAGGGGCGGGTACGGGTAATACCCGGTTTCAAAATAAAGGGTAGGGTACGGGTATGGTAATCGATAATACCCGCTCCGTTATACCCGCCCCGCTAACCAAAGGGTCAATTTCCCTTGAGAAATTTAGATTAGCTTGAAAAATTGAGTTTAGCTACCATTATTGATGATGAAGATGTAGACGATTATTATGTTTGTGTGGATTCTAGAAGCAAGAACAATTATTATGTGTTTGCTATTTTTATTTGTGTGGATTGTTGAAGCTCGAATAGTTATAAGTATTGAGAATTTTTTTTTATAAAGAAGTATTGAGAATTTTTAATGGACAACAGTATGTATGTGCATATATGTGTATAAGTTCATAGTTTAGGGTTCGTACCCATGGTTACCCGAATACCCGTGGTTACCCGGTGGGTAGGGTATGGTTATATAATTTTCATACCCGGTGGTTATTTGGTCGGGTATTTTAGAAAGCTCTACCCGGTGGGTTAGGAGTTGGTATAGGGTAAACCCGCACCCGACCCTACCCATTGCCATCCCAAGTGAGACCACCGCCCCGGTCGCGTAGGGCGGAAAAACAAAAGTAAAAAAAACACTACAAAATCAAAGTAGTGTAGGCTAAGACTATCATGCGCCGCTCGTTGTCCAAACCAAAACGCAAAAATCCCTCTCTCTCGTCCTCTAACCACACACATCACCCTGCGAAACGTTTCTTCTCCATAACAAATAATACAATTAACAAAAAAACAAATAAAAACATACCAGATACAGAGAGCTGCTTCAAGGGAGAAAGAGGGGAAGAGAAACAGAAAAGAGAAGCTCAACCCAAAAAAAGAAAAAAAGGAAAGACAGAGGCGCGTCGGAGCAATGAAGCACACTTCCTCCGAGGCAGTACCGTCATCCTCATCTCCGCCGCCATCGTCGTCGTTATCCTCTGCCTCATCGTCCTCTTCGTCCGTGATATTATCTTCCACCGAGCAGTTGCCCCGGACGGCGGCGGCGGCCACCACCTCCGCCTCCTCCTCTTCAATCCCCGTGGAGGACCTCGCCGTCGGCTCCACCAGGGACGGCAGCGGCGGGGCGCAGGAGACGGTCACCGTCGATCGCCGCGGTGAGTACTCCGCCATCTGCAGATGGACGGTCCACAATTTCCCCCGGGTTAAAGCTAGGGCACTGTGGAGCAAGTACTTCGAGGTCGGCGGCTACGATTGCCGCCTGTTGATATACCCTAAGGGCGACTCGCAGGCCTTGCCGGGCTACATCTCAATCTACCTCCAAATCATGGACCCTAGGGGCACCTCTTCCTCCAAATGGGACTGCTTCGCCAGCTACCGGCTGTCAATCGTCAATCTCGCCGACGATTCCAAGACCATCAATCGTGATTCGTGGCACCGGTTCTCCACCAAGAAGAAGTCCCACGGCTGGTGCGATTTCACCCCTTCCTCCACCGTTTTCGATTCCAAATTAGGTTTCTTATTCAATAGCGATTCCATTCTCGTCACAGCCGATATACTAATCCTTAATGAGTCCATTAATTTTGTCCGCGATAACAATGACAACAACGTCCAGTCCCCTTCTTCTTCGTCCATCATTTCGTCCTCCGTCGTCGCCACCCCTATATCTGATGTCTTGACTGGTAAATTCACTTGGAAAGTCCATAATTTCAGTCTATTTAAGGACATGATCAAGACGCAGAAGATAATGAGCCCTGTATTCCCTGCTGGGGAGTGTAACCTCAGGATTAGTGTCTACCAGAGCACCGTCAATGGCCATGATTATCTCTCTATGTGTTTGGAGAGTAAGGACACTGAGAAAACAGTGGTCTCTGATAGGAGCTGTTGGTGTTTGTTTAGGATGTCTGTGTTGAATCAAAAGCCTGGCTCGAATCACATGCACAGGGACTCCTATGGCCGGTTTGCTGCCGATAATAAGAGTGGGGACAATACCAGCTTGGGATGGAATGACTATATGAAAATGGCCGACTTTGTTGGCCTCGATTCCGGGTTCTTGTTGGATGACACTGCCGTTTTCAGTACTTCATTCCATGTGATTAAGGAGTTCAGTAGCTTCTCCAAGAATGGGGGTTCTATTGGTGGCAGGATTGGTAATGGTGCGAGGAAGTCTGATGGGCATCTGGGTAAATTTACTTGGAGGATTGAGAATTTTACAAGGTTGAAGGACCTTTTGAAGAAAAGAAAGATTACAGGCCTCTGCATCAAGAGTCGGAGGTTTCAAATTGGCAACCGTGATTGTCGTCTCATTGTTTACCCCAGAGGTATGGAGTGTCCGTAATGCATAGATATAAAATCCTAAATGATCATGCCTCTTGTACATTGATTTAAATCTATCCCCCCTGGTGTTTGTGGTTCACTGGTTCTTTTCTGATCTATGCTGCTAATGGTGGTTTGTAATGGTTTGTGTTTATGAATGCTTGACTTCAGGATCGTTGTCCTTGACATTGATTAGGATGATGCTAAAAACATAGGAGGATATGGAGGCAGCCTTTGGGTGCATGTATGCTTGCATTGCCTTAATGTTCTTACGTTGTGCTATGAGACTAAACTAACAAGAGTCTATTGTCTGCTTTGTTGCATCAGGGCAGTCTCAACCTCCATGTCACCTTTCGGTGTTTCTTGAGGTTACAGATTCAAGAAATACTTCCAGTGAATGGAGTTGTTTTGTTAGCCATCGTTTATCAGTTGTGAACCAAAAGATGGAGGAGAAATCAGTCACCAAGGAATCTCAGAATCGATACTCCAAAGCTGCAAAGGATTGGGGTTGGCGTGAATTTGTGACACTTACAAGTCTATTTGACCAGGACTCTGGATTCCTTGTTCAAGATACTGTAGTATTCTCTGCTGAAGTTCTCATTTTGAAAGAGACTTCGATAATGCAAGAGTTCACAGACCAGGATATCGAGTCTCCAAGTGCTGCTTATCAAGTTGACAAGGTTGAGAAAAAAAGTTCATTCACGTGGAAGGTAGAGAACTTCTTGTCCTTCAAAGAGATAATGGAGACCCGGAAAATTTTTAGCAAGTTTTTCCAAGCTGGTGGATGTGAGCTTCGTATTGGTGGGTAACTCTATCGTGCCCTCTCTAAAATTGTTTGTTGTGGTGTTCCCCTTTCATTATTCTTCTGACTGTGGTTCTTTACCTTTGATCAGGTGTGTATGAGTCCTTTGACACCATATGCATATACTTGGAGAGTGATCAATCAGTCGCTAGTGATCCAGATAAGAACTTCTGGGTTAGATACAGGATGGCTGTGGTGAACCAAAAAAATCCATCAAAGACTGTATGGAAGGAATCTTCTATTTGTACGAAGACGTGGAATAACTCTGTTTTGCAATTTATGAAGGTATCAGACATGCTGGAAGCGGATGCTGGTTTCCTTGTACGCGACACTGTTGTTTTTGTCTGTGAAATTTTGGACTGCTGTCCTTGGTTTGAGTTTTCTGATCTCGAGGTTAGTATCTATTATTTTTTTTTCTTTTCGCAACTATCAGTTGGTGCTTCTTGCGTGGAGAGGAAATGAATCTATATGTAAAACATGACTGATAATGTGGTTATGTTTAGGGCGTTGGATTTGGTTGATATTCGTGTTGGTCTATTTTTTGCATAGTTAGTAAAATACGGTACGGGAAAGTTACGTAAAAAATACGTACGGGTATTATACTTCGTTTCTAAGCTAAAATTACGTTTAATAGTACGTTAATAGTCATAAATATATAAAATTAATTATTTTAAAAATTAATATATACTATAAATAATAGTAACATTAATAATTTAATTTATAAAATACGGATAATAAACGTGTTATACGGGTTTTATACGTGTTTAATACGGGAGCCATCAAATGAACGGGGGAAAATGAAACAGCTTGACAATAATACGGATACGGAAGTTTTAAACGGATAAAGTACGTACGGGTACATATACGTGTATTAAACGGAGTATTTACTAACTATGATTTTTTGTTGTCTAAAAACAGTATTTACTCCTTTGTTGAATTGTGTAAAGATCGACTGTTGATGTCACATTCTACTGATGAGATGACCCTATCAGAGGTTTAGAGTGGGCTCTACTCTACCCTTAGCATTGGCTCTGTCTATGGTTTGCTAGTAGCCCATCAGCGCTGGCTGAAAAGTTGACAAGTTTCGAGTAGTGATATTGTTCCTGCTGAATCATATTGCTGCCAAATTGGGTTGTAGGGAATGCTTCCTCTAGATTTTTGAATTTTGACTGTGCCCATCCATAGAGATCCTCACTTTTATTGCTGGATTATAATTGTTCTTGTTTTTAAGGTCTGAAATTGTGTTATAAACTTTAGTATGTCCTCTGTCTTTGTTAGGTTTTGGTCTCTGAGGATGATCAAGATGCTTTAACTACTGATCCGGATGAACTCATTGATTCTGAAGACAGTGAGGGCATAAGTGGGGATGAAGAAGACATCTTTCGAAGTCTTCTCTCAAGGGCTGGTTTTCACCTCTCGTATGGAGACAACCAATCACAACCGCAAGTTACTTTAAGGGAAAAGCTCTTAATGGATGCCGGTGCAATTGCTGGTTTTCTCACTGGATTACGTGTATATCTTGATGACCCTGCTAAAGTGAAGCGATTACTTCTTCCTACCAAGATTTCTGGTGGCAATGATGGAAAGAAGGCCACAAAGGCCGATGAATCTTCTCCTAGCTTGATGAATTTATTAATGGGAGTTAAAGTTCTGCAGCAAGCAATAATAGACTTACTCTTAGATATTATGGTAGAATGCTGTCAACCCTCCGAGGGAAGTGTCAGTGATGATGGACCTGAGGTAAACTCTAAGCCTTCTCTTGATGACAGTGGTACAGCTATCCTGCTGGAATGTGATAGGGAAGGTGGGGCTGTAGAATCTGCCCAGTTTCCTGTACACGAGAGATTAGATTCTGGAGTTGATGACACTATCAGTACATCTGCTGTTCAAAGCTCTGACACTAGTAGTGGTGTTGCTGCTGTAAGCAAGGCTATTCCAGGACAGCCTATTTCTCCGCCAGTAACAACAGCAGGAAGTGCTATAGAAAGTGCTTCTTTACGGTCCAAGGTATGGGTTTCTTGGTACTGAATAGTAGCAATTGGTTTATGTTGTCGGTTCATCTGGATTCTGTACTGATTTCTTTCAACTGGAAAATACAGGCCAAGTGGCCAGAGCAATCTGAGGAGCTATTGGGATTAATCGTAAATTCCCTAAGAGCCCTAGATGGTGCTGTCCCTCAAGGCTGTCCTGAGCCACGAAGGAGGCCTCAGTCAGCACAGAAGATTGCTCTAGTTTTGGATAAAGCTCCAAAGCACCTACAGCCAGATCTAGTGGCTTTAGTACCAAAGTTGGTTGAGCATTCAGAACACCCATTGGCTGCCTCTGTGCTCATTGAAAGACTTCAAAAGCCTGACGCGGAACCTGCACTCCGTGTGCCTGTAAGATTTACGTTTACTTTTACTATCTTGTCCTGTTATAGGTATTCTTAGTGTCATTTATTACATGGATGGCACACAAAGGTGCTAGTCATTTCAAGTATTGCGTTCAATTTGCCGGTCATCATAACTTGAGATTCTGTTAGTTTTACTGCTCTGCTTGTTGACTTGTGTGCAATTAACTATTTTTCTGTTCTAGGTTTTTGGTGCTCTTACTGAACTGGAATGTGGCAGTGATGTATGGGAACGGGTACTATCACAGTCGTTTGAACTGTTAGCTGATGCAAATGACGAGTCTCTTGCTGCAACTATAGATTTTATATTCAAAGCTGCATCTCAGTGCCAACATCTCCCTGAAGCAGTATGCATTCTTTTCTATAATTTCTCACATATGCCATGGAGTTCAATTTGCCAAGGCGTGACTTGTGTTGCTATCTTTGTGCAGGTAAGATCTGTTCGTATGAGGCTCAAGGGTTTGGGCCCTGAGGTTGCCCTTTGCGTCCTTGAACTTTTGAGTAGAACTGTAAATAGTTGGGGAGATGTCGCAGAAACTATACTTCGAGATATAGATTCTGATGATAACCTTGGGAGTGATGGTGTAACATCATCATGCGGGCTTTTCTTGTTTGGTGAAAGTGGTCCCATTTCTGAAAGGTTGCAGATGATAGACGAGCAGGCCTTTGCTGCTGGTCGTCATTTTTCTGATATCTACCTTCTCATTGAGATGCTGTCTATACCTTGCCTTGCTGTTGAAGCTTCTCAGACATTTGAGAGAGCTGTAGCTCGAGGAGCAATTGTTGCTCAGAGTGTGGCTATGGTCTTAGAGAGGCGACTCACTCAGAGGCTTAATTTCACTGCTCAATTTGCAGCTGAAAGCTTCCAGCACTCTGAGGCTGCTGTATTAGGAGGAGAAGCCAGTGAACAGCTTAGAGTCCAGCGTGATGATTTCAATGTTGTTCTTGGTCTTGCTGAGACGTTGGCCCTTTCAAGTGATCTCCGCATTAAGGGTTTTGTGAAGATTCTTTACACAATATTGTTCAAGTGGTATGTGGACGAGTCTTATCGAGGGAGAATGCTTAAGAGACTAGTAGATCGTGCTACCAGTACATCAGACAATAGCCGAGATGTAGATCTAGACTTGGATGTGTTGGTTATCTTAGTTTGTGAAGATCAAGAAATTGTGAAGCCCGTTCTAGGGATGATGCGGGAGGTTGCTGAACTTGCAAATGTGGATCGAGCTGCCCTTTGGCACCAATTATGTGCCAGTGAAGATGAAATCATTCGGTTGAGAGAAGAGAGGAAGACAGAAATAGGTAATATGGTTCGGGAGAAGACGGGGCTTTCCCATAAATTGAGCGAGGCAGAGGCAACTAGCAATAGACTCAAGGTAAAGGCTGCACCTACTTGTCTTGTTATATTAATTGCTCACAGTTTCTCGTGAAGAAACATTCCTGAGTTTCTCGTATTATTTGTTGACAGTCTGAGATGAGGGCTGAGCTGGATCGTTTTGGGAGGGAAAAGAAGGAGCTTTCTGAACAAATACAAGAAGTTGAAAGTCAACTCGAGTGGATACGATCTGAGCGTGATGACGAAATTAGAAAGCTGACATCGGAGAAGAAATCTCTTCAGGATCGTCTCCATGATGCTGAGTCTCAACTCTCCCAGTTGAAGTCCCGAAAAAGGGATGAACTGAAGGTAGGGTACTATTTGCTTTCCGTTTCATTTGTTGGCATATTTACAGCTCCTGATGTCTAATATTGATCTCCAAACTTCTCTTTTCGGTTCCTATGATAGAGAGTAGTGAAAGAGAAAAATGCTCTTGCTGAAAGACTGAAAAGTGCTGAAGCTGCACGGAAAAGGTTCGATGAAGAACTGAAAAGATATGCCACTGAGAATGTCACTCGGGAGGAAATCCGTCATTCCTTGGAGGATGAAATCCGAAGACTGACACAAACAGTTGGACAAACGGAAGGAGAAAAGAGGGAGAAAGAGGAGCAGGTCGCTCGATGTGAGGCATACATCGATGGGATGGAATCCAAGTTGCAGGCATGCCAGGTTAGTTAGTATACTTACACAGCTCAGTAATATCCTCCGTCACTTCTCGCGCCAATCAAAAGCATCCATCAATAGTTGTTGCTTGAAACGTCTCCATGCCTCATTTTGTTATTCTCTTTCTGCAGCAATACATCCACACCCTCGAGGCTTCGCTACAGGAAGAAATGTCGAGACACGCCCCTCTGTATGGTGCAGGTTTGGAAGCTCTATCGATGAAGGAGCTGGAGACTCTCGCACGTATCCACGAAGAAGGCCTGAGGCAGATTCACAGCCTCCAGCAACAACGCAAGGGCAGCCCCGTAGCCAGTCCACTCGTGAGCCCACATACGATCCCTCACAGTCACGGTTTATTCCCGGCTGCCCCGCCTCCCATGGCCGTCGGATTGCCGCCTTCACTCATCCCGAACGGGGTTGGCATCCACGGGAATGGACACGTGAACGGCGGAGTCGGACCCTGGTACAACCACAGTTGATGGGGATGGAAAGGCAAAATATGTTCGTTGCCTGATTGAGGGAGAAGAACTGAGAGATTCAAGATTCATTCTGCAGCTGCTGGGTGATAGATGTCTCGGTGGGGAAGGAATGTTGAGCTATTATGGAGTTCCTTCCCAATCTTTTTTTGTTTTGTTTGGCAATTCTACACTGTTAGGGACGTTTTGGAGATGACAAGGGGAGATGAGAAAATAATACAATACGAAAGAAGAAAAGCATAGAGAAGGGAGAAGAGCTCGAAAGAAGGAGCATTCGACGAAGCTTCTTTTTCTGGTATTTTGATCGTTTATTTACCTGTAATGTTGTTCTCTATCAATACAAGCTCAGCTCACTGGCAGATCTCTTTGCATCAAGAGATGGTAAGTTCAATTGCTTATTTGATGGTTGGTTGAGAATATAGTGTTTGTACTAACCTCATCATCAAGAAGCAACATGTTAAGGTACTGAATCTCAACATTTCCAGCAATAACTGTTGGCCAGAATCGAACAACCCTCACACCAACAGACCTAATCTGTTCATATGATACTGTTAGTTCTCTTGGCTTGGAATTAATTAATATTTATTTATGTATTCATACTGAAGAAGGAATACAAAATTAAAGGGCGATATTATTTTGATAAGATTTGGCATGGTAGAATTTTTATTAGTTTAGACAGTCCAAATTCAATTAGTTTACTTTGAATGATTTTATGAAGATGCCAAACCTAATAAATAATGTAGTCTCGACCCCAGTCTATTTCAGTCTAATTAACATGAAATAGTTGGTATAAGGTAATGGTAAATTTAAGAACAATTTCACACCAAATCTGTTGTTTATGTGAAGTAAATTCAAGGAGTATTTTGCAGCTCAGGATTCGGAGCAGGAAAGAAATCAGGAACCGCCATGGATTATTCTCTGCGCAAGCTTTCCTTCCTCCCATTTTTCCTCGTCCTCCTCCTCACTATTTTCTCCATCCTCCCCGCCATCATCGGTGTTACCTACACTTCCTTCGACTTTCCTCAGCCAGCGTTCAGCTCGCATCAATTGGATTCAAGTAAGAACGTGCCTTTGACTTAAATTGCAACAATTAATTTCGGTTAATTAGGATCTAATTGCATTTCTCCCCCCTTAATTAGTGTCAATCGAAGAACACTCCCATCCATCTGTATATTGGAAAAAGATTGTGATTGTTATCGGCCAGCTCATACTATCAGCACTGGTTGCCACTGTTGTTGGTTTTGTCGTTTGGGTATTCGATGGCTATGGCAGGTGGATCGATGGACTGAGAAGGTGACATTAGGGTTCCCTTATTCGTCGAGCGGAGGTGGGAGCGTGTCTATTTTATATTTTGAATGTGTCGAGAGAACGTATATATTGTTTCATATAACATTAAATTACTCAAAGTTATTCAACTTATAGTTAACGTTATCAAGAGTGACATTGTCTATTTATTACATAATAGGTCAAGATAATTTATAGTTACAGTTATCAAGAGTGAAATTGTCTATTTATTACATAATAGTTTTTCAAAATTCAAATTAAAACAAATAATATAAACGCCAATAAAAAATAATCTAGAAAATAAAAAAAACCTTTAATTTCATTCTTTAAATCTAGTCTCACTTAAAATCAAGGGTCAAAATATGATTATTCAAGAATTATGCACCTTATAATTATACACATGGACCATTTTTATTTTTTAAGATGGTTAAAAAGCTTGTATTGATATTTTCATGCAATTTCGTAGATGATGGTAACTGGTAAGAAGAACAAGAGGCCATCAGCCCATCATGGTTGATGGCATTTGGGAAAGTGATAGTTGTAATAACAATATAACATGCAAACGCAACTGAATAAATCCATTGATTTTTGTCGAGTTTTGATACATTTGACTACATGTGAAGTGATGTGATTTCCCTTGTATTAAAGGAAGGAAAATATGTTTAGTTAAAAATTGTATGACGCCAATATATCAATTTTTTCCCGGCCACCCTTTTCAGCACGTACAAATTGATGGTGGAACAGTGGCGGACTCAGGATTGTCGAAGAGGGGTGTCGTCGAAAAAAAAAATTAAATAAAAAATTAAATAAAAATAATCAGAAATTTTCCTACAAATAAACAATCATTCATAAATTGGTCATTCAACCGATTTCAAAGATCGTTCTTGATGATCTTCATAGCTGAAAATGCTCTTTCACAGCTTGCAGTTGCAACAGGTAAAGTCAATACCAACTTCAGAAGCAAGAAAACTAAAGGATATAAAGTATTCTTTTCTCTCGATCTCCACCAATTTTCTAGCTAACTCGTCGATTCCCCGCAATCCATCAAAGCTCTCCCGAGTTATTAGAGATGTTATTGCACGAACAATATCCTTCTGAATCTTGGGAGAAGTCATTTGATGATTCGTTGGAGCATTTTCCAACACAACACTTCGCACTTCCCTATTCTCATTAGTCATTAGCAATAACCTCTAAAACGTGAAGAAAATTTCCTTTGTTCTCTGAAGACTCACTTTCATCATGCCCACGAAATGACAATCCTTGATGTAGAAGAGCCTTAACTGTAGTAACTGATGCTTGCAAACGAATTCAATATTCTCTTTTTTGCTTATCTATTTTGTCTCAACAAATCCTCACCTTTTTTAGCAGTCACATTGTGAAAATTATTAGGGCCACCCACATGATCATCTTTGATAGAAATTCTAGTTTCCATAATTTGGATAAAATGGAATTCATTTCCCAACCTTCTTAGATTTACAAACATAGAATAATGAAATAGAATTGGAAATGGAATTCTAATTCCTGAATTTTTCGTCCATACTGCTGCTTGTGTGTGGGGTAGAATTTTATGGTGATGGGTTATTTAGACTAAACCAAAATTATTTTACTTATTATGAATAATTAAAAATTAAGATGAATACATTTATAACAATAAATCATTTCTAGTATAATGAATGGGTTCGTCTATAATTATTAGAGCGATGTCGGAAATTTGGTATTAAAATTTTTTATGCCAAAAAATATAGGTCTTTCACAAAATTCCGGGCGAAGGGGTGTCGGACGACACCCCTAGCCCACACACAGGTCCGCCCCTGGGTGGAATCCTACTTGGGTAGAACAACTAGTTCGATAGGAATTAGGAAGTAAAATTAGCTATAGCTGAGCCATTTATATATAGCAGACTCTACTCCTCTCTACGGACAAACTACAAACCCAAAATAAAAGCATTCCAAGTTTGCCCTAATTTTTACTACAAAGGAAGAAGAAGATGGCGGGGAAGGGAAAAGTGCAGGAGCGTGACAGCAGCGGTGCAATGCTTATGGTGTGGTTTGCCGTTGTGTACATGTCCTTGGTTCTCGCCGTCGCCGGCATCTCCGTCATCGATATCGTGTATAGGAGTTTCTACGGTAAGTACTGCTTCTTGACCATCGAAGTTGAGCAGGTGGCGTATGCAAATAAGATCATCTACATCCATATGGCGGTATTCTTTCCGGTCGCAATCTGTTTGTGCTACTCTATCTACAAGAGAAGCAGGCTATCACGCCGTGCCTGCTTCGATCGAGCCTCGTTGATATGATCCAATTTAGCCTCCTGTCGAAGCTCGAATTAAACGCTAAAGGATCAATCAACGTTGGAAGGAAAAACGGGAGAATTTGGCTAAGTGTTTGGATCATCTCATGGTGCTTACTTTACGGATTTATTTCTTACATACTGGTCGATGGAATCACAGGAAAAGGGTGTATAATTGAACTACAGGTGTTCCTTTATACGTTTGAAGCATTTTCCAAGCAAGATCGATCGATGGAGGGTCATTTTCAGGAGTCCCAAGTTGCTATGGTGAAACTGGAAATTTGGCTGTTTTTGGCTAAGTCTGGAACAGGGTTGAGACACCAACTTTGGAGGCTTAGTAAATGCAGTTGGGGCATCTTCGAAGGACAAGGGGAGTTGGAACTTGTCCTACAAGTTCAGGAGAGAAAACGAATGAAGCTGGATTGGATCGAACACTCCTGGAACCCCACGATTAAGGGCCTCAAAGTAGCTATGGACGCTGGATTAATTGCTTGCGCAGGAAGGCAGTTGCTTAGATGAGAAGCTGCCGAGTTTGTTTCCTTTTCAAGTTAGGATTTTGTTTCCTTGTTCAATTAGAGTTAGAATTTATTCTTCCATGTTTGTGTAGGGTTAATTAACGTAGCCAATAGCTTATTTAAAGGGGGTTGAAGCCTCGTGTAAGGGTGGTAGATAGATTGAATTCAAAGATTGTGACTTTGTCACTCAATTCTTGTGTGTTGGTCGAGTTCCAGCAGCAAGCTTGCTTCGTATCGATTGAAAACACATCAATCGTGACCGAGCTTCGACTCAAACCAATCGAGCCTCTTCCCAAGTGTGAAGTTGCACCTTTGGTCCGTTTTATTTTCGTATTAAGTTGCTTACATTCAAGTTTCGTTGGAAGAGAGTTGAGCTGTGCACTTTGATCCCCTACAAGCACAACCGTGCTCGTATTACTCATCTACCATTTTAACCGGCCATCTCGTTTAATCATCTAGCTTGGAGTGGCCGGCCGGAGCGACTTCATTAGTAATTTTTATGTTGGAGACTTACCTACTTTTTATTCTTTGTTATTGTTCTTATCGGTTTTTTTCGTTGTAATATTTGATTTCCGTAATTTTATCGGTTATTTCGACTTTCTATTACTTATAATATTTGTCGTGTAGTTAATATGGGGACCGTATATAGGTTTCCTTTTATCTAGTGTTGTGAGAGCTAGATCCAATGAATAATAGGTTCAACGTTTACCGATTAATTGGTGGTTGATTTGCATAAAACCATTTTAAAAACATGTTACTTACAATTTGTAAGAAAAAATAACATTATGGATCTGGGTTAGTTATGAAAATTTAATAAAGAAAATCTATTAGGATCCAATAACGTTCTGATGTGGCTTTGTGAAATTATTAGTGTTTTGTTCTACTTCAAATTTTTTATTTTTATTTCACCCTACTTCAATTTCCCGAGTCGAGTATAATACGAGGACAACTAATAAATAGAGTTTTGACACATATATTTTGTTATTTTCATATGACATGATGAAATAGAATAATATTTGGATGGCACCATTTGATTCGTGAACTTTATTTTTGCAAGGCGGGATTTTTTTTTACTGGAAATCTGGTTCATTTCATTAAGAAATTAGGGTCCATGGCCCCTATCAGCTTCAATCATACAACTCAGGGATAGTGGAGGGTTATCAACCCAAACCACTTGCTGATCCCACCCCAACCCAATGTGAGCTAACCAGTGGGCCACAATATTCAATTTTCTAGGTCTAAACTCCCATCTCAATCTTCCTTCCCGACAGAGACTCATTAATTCTAGCCAAACAATTCAGCTCCTCACACCAGAAACCTAGCTCAGTACAATCTTCCTTGCCTTTCTTCAATTGATTCACCAAAACCTGACAATCCGTTTCAACGATTAAGGGGCTAAGCTCCCGCCGATTCGCCTCCCTCATGCCCATGACCAGAGCCTTAGCCTCTGCTTCAATGGATCTACAAACCCCTTTCTCCTTCCTCGCCATCGCCCCCACAAAATCTCCTCGCCAATCGCGAATAATGCATCCCAGGCCTATCCCTTGGTCTTTGATCACCCCAGCA